ATGCTATGCTGCATGAGTATGTCTAATCCATGATTTTGTCTCTGGAACGAAAGAGTGGACGTGACTGTATGGGCGGCTGTAGGAAGCGTATGATGAACATGCCTGGAATATAAATGAGACAGTTGTCGGCAGGGATGTATACCCCCGTCTGGTACATGAAAGTGAAATGTGATAAGTGGCCAACCAAGTGAGTTCCCCAGAAACATCATGAACTTATGGATGAGTAGTGGCGTTTGTTGATGATATGGTATGTGCTTAGTTGTCTGAGTAACAACGGATTGATGACCCTGACCATGATTTACCCCATGCCACAGCAGCTGCTACAATGGGGTAGATCTCCCAAAGGGGCTGAAGTGGTGGAAAAATTTCCAAACCTGGATGCCATGGCCAACAGCCCCAAAGCAATTGTTCCCGGTAGATCGCTGCCAAACCCGTGGTATACGCTGCGTCTGACCATCTGGTTGGAGAAGTGTCAGACAATCCTGGAAGGAACATGCGTTTACCATGCCAAGTGGTTAAGAAATCCCCCCCCCATGTGCAGGTCTGCTGTTGCTGAGGTGTCTAGGCACCTCCTCTGATTGTCATGTTGGAAGTGTGGAAAAAAGGGGAAAGTACTCTGGATGTGAAAGCATGGCAAAATTAAGGAACCTGGTAGGGATCGTAGTTCCTTGCAGTTGTAAGTACTAAGCAGGAGGTAGTGATTGATGTAGTTGAGAATGTTCCCTATTTGTCTTGTGGTAACTTGCGTGTATGGATGCCGACTCAAGTCATATGCCCAGTAATGTGAAGATAGTGTCTGGGCCTTCTGTTTCTTATGGGGTACTGGGACGCCCAAGTGGTCAACCAGACTAAGCTGCCATGAGGCTTCTAGTGAAAAATATGCTTTCTTGATTAACAAGAAGTCTTCTAGATAGTGTATGACTGTAAGGCCTCTGGATATGTTATCATAACCAGCACAGAGTATCTCCGAATATCGATAGTAGGCTAATCTGTAGCTCGAAAGTTGAGCGGGGAAAGGATTGCCCAATTTATGCCATGTAACTGCCAGTGTGTAGGGTAGATGGTAGCCGTTTACTGCGTTGATGATATTGGTCTTACTTAATCAAGCTTCAACCCATGCTTGAGTGATAGCTGTAAAGGTAGATCAATGGTGTTGTATAGTAAGAAAAATCCTCGGAGGGTATGAGGGAGTTGAGACTTGGGGTAGCGAAGGTGTGTGTTACCAATAAGTCCATGGTTAGTCTTTGTTTAAGGGAAGATTCCTTGTGACAATACCAATGTGTGTGTTTGGTGCCATGCTGTAAATGGTGGAGATTGGAAGACCCCTCTGCAAATCTTGGCTATGAGTGTGTTTACAGCCAATGGTTTTGTTGTGCTGACTGTAAGTGAGGGCATGCTATATTCCTTGAAGGTGTGTTTATGATACCTGTATGGGAGCCCTTTGAAGCTCCAGAGCTTTAGTAAATCTACTACAAGTCTGGAAGGGTGATGAGTCAGTAGTGTTGAAAATGCATTGGTGTGTACAGATGGTGAATACGTTATTTGTAAGTTGTATTGGGACACATGGTTTGTCATGTGCCCTGAACTATTTGAACATATATGCAACAGTCTGTATGCAATGCAACTACTCATATCAGTGGTCTCTGGTAGTTCAGAGGTGCTGGTACCTGGAGCCTGAGAGTGCTCGTCCATTTGTTTGGGACAAAATCCCTTCTGTATGGGTACCTGCACAAATAAACATCTCCACATATTCCAAATGCCAACCCAACCAAGGGATGGTCAGTTCCCGATTTACCTGGAATCCCTGGATCTGACCATCACAGATACATCATCATACATATATATGCCTTGCTTCCCCAATGTGCTGGGATCATACGTGCAGGTTTAACATCTTGTGTGTCATAAGAATTGATTGTACCAGGTAACCGAGTTTCGGTTGGTGCTGGTTGTACAGTAGCGTGAGGCCCAGCCTTGTGAGGACTGTGGTGACCAACTCGAGATTGCCAGTCTGTCATAAATTTTTTGGCTCATGAGTTTATGAGTGAAGCTAACATAGCCTGGGTGTCACCTGAGTTGATGTAGCTGGGCCTTCCCCTGCCTCCGTGTTGTCCGTTGATGTATGGAGGAGTTTGAATAACTGCTTTCCTTGCTGTAGCAGGGTAGGTCGGTGGTAATGTGTGGGATCGTCCAGGATCTGATTGCTGCTGGACTAGCAACATCTCCTCTGCTTGAAGGTGTATCAATTTTAGCCGGGGTGCTAGGAAGAGGTGATTCTTCACCATCTTTTTGAGAAATACTTAAATAACAATAAAGATTGCAATTATATTTGTACCCAGGGTTCTTGTACTGGCTTGCTAGCTAAGCCGTAAGGCGAAACGATTAGGCTTGGTGTTTTTTGGTGACTGGTGAGGCCCTGCTAGTTGCCAAGTGGCTTGAGAGGCTCTATCTATGCTTGGCGCGAGGGGATTTTGTGTGGCCACCGAACGCTGTGGCAGGATGTTGGCCTCTCGGTGACAGTAACCAGAAAATAGGAAGGGGAGTGACAGGTGAGGTCCTCTCTATGATACAATGCGAGGCGACTAGCTCACGAGTGGCCCGAGGGGTGTATGCCTCTGAGTGTGAGGCGGGGTGTTGGCCTCGCGGGACCACTAACCGAAGCATAATGCAGAGAAAAAAGGGGGTAATACCTATTGGGCCCTAGAACCCTAATTGCCAGTACACTATTACTATTCCAGGGAAGGTAAGAGATGGATAACTACGTGAGCAGGTGTATGTACCTGGTAGTATGGTATTGAACCTGACAATCCGTATAGGTTTTTTAGTAGTAACTGTAACCTGAATGGATAAAACCGTATGGCATAAGGAAATATGGCATAGACCAAGCTTATCTTAATACGTACAGTATATGTGAAAAGTAAAGTGCCATGATGTGTAAATATTAAACATCGTAGCCATACTGGTTAAATATGTATCAATCTTAACCCATTAAGTGCCGTATGTACAAGTGAAAATGTGGTCTGTCCCCACCTTGTATGTTGTATGTCCCCTTGCTAGGGGAAGTCTGTTGCGGGAGCAGCGTGCTGTGAAAAATGTATGTGAACTATATTACCAGTTACATATATACAGATGCGTCTGCTACTGTGTAATAATATATGTATTTATACCAGATGTTGATATAGTGCTTGCTATGTGAATTGTTGTATGTCTTATTGAATGGTAGGGGTCAGTGAACATGGTGTTGCAAAATGCAAGTGCACTGGAGATCTGCCGAGTGCCCTATAGGTGGCAGTGTAGTTGGATACTGATTGGTATGTGAAATGTTGTTTGTCTGTTGACCTATAGGTGTCAGTGTTTTGGTGTTTGTAAAACCCCATGAAAATTGTCAATGTACTTGACAGACCTGTAGGTGGCAGTGTTGATAGAACCACTGTTGGTCTTGATGTGAAATGTAAATTATTGTGAATTAAACCTGAAGTTGAGCCCGTGCTGGAGTTTAATTTATGGTCTATAGTTATGTTTAAAACAATCTTATGTGTAATTTATATTGGCTGGTAAATTGTATATGACATGTGAAGACAGTTTGCTGTTGACCAGTAGGGGTCAGAAATGCTGATTGTATGTTAAAATACCCTTTAACCCCTTAAGGACCAAACTTCTGGAATAAAAGGGGATCATTACACGTCACACATGTCATGTGTCCTTAAGGGGTTAATGCTACCATTTGACAGATAGGAGTCAGTATAAAAGCGAAAATGCTGTAGTTCGTTTGTTTGCTTATGAAGTGGAATAAAATCTGAGAAGCCTGTAGTATACTGATTGACCGGTAGGGATCAGCATGTAGGCGAAAATGCCGTGGTTAGTTGGTTTGTACACGAAATGCAATAATGTCTGAGAAGCCTGTAGTACACTGAATGACCTGTAGGGGTCAGTGTGTAGGCGCAAATGCAGTGGTTCGTTGGTTTGTACATGAAATGCAATAATGTCTGAGAAGCCTGTAGTACACTGAATGACTGGTAAGAGTCAGTGTGTAGGTGAAAATGCAGTGGTTTATGGTTTTGTACATGAAAAGCAAAAACGTCTAAGAAGCCTGTAGTACACCGAATGACTGATAGGGGTCAGTGTGTAGGTGAAAATTGCAGTGGTTTGTTGGTTTATACATGAAATGTAATAATGTCTGAGAAGCCCGTAGTACACCGAATGACCGGTAGGGGTCAGTGTGTAGGCGCAAATGCAGTGGTTCGTTGATTTGTACATGAAATGCGATAATATCTAAGAAGCCTGTAGTACACTAAATGACCAGTAGGGGTCAGTGTGTAGGCGTAAATGCAGTGATTCGCTGATTTGTACATGAAATGCAATAATGTCTGAGAAGCCTGTAGTACACCAAATGACCAGTAGGGGTCAGTGTGTAGGCGCAAATGCAGTGATTCGTTTATTTGTACATGAAATGCGATAATGTCTAAGAAGCCTGTAGTACACCAAAAACCGGTAGGGGTCAGTGTGTAGGTGAAAATGCGGTGTTTGGTTGGTTTTTACATGAAATGCAATAATGTCTGAGAAGCCGGTAGTACACCGAATGACCGGTAGGGGTCAGTGTGTAGGCAAAAATGCAGTGGTTCGTTGGTTTGTACATGAAATGCAATAATGTCTAAGAAGCCTGTAGTACACCCAAAGACCGGTAGGGGTCAGTGTGTAGGCGAAAATGCAGTGGTTCGCTGGTTTGTACATGAAATGCAATAATGTCTAAGAAGCCTGTAGTACACCCAAAGACCGGTAGGGGGTTTAAACGAATGATATGCATGAACATGCAATGGTTTTAGAACAGACATAGACAAAATGCAGCCGTAAAGTGAGGACCTGACCCGTGCATGGTGCCGTGGGACTGATGCCTGGCGTAACGGGTAGGTCGACTTACTGTTTGTGAGTCACTTGGACACCATCCACGGCAATGGATTGAAGAAAGAAGGTGGTAGGCCGGAAAAGCCTGTGGCTGGATTCCTGACACAGCTCTGCTTAGAAAACCTCATGGAGTAATCAGGTAAAATGGCGTCTGGATGACCCGGAAGTGGAAATCATTCTGATGCTGACCTCAAGCGATATGAGTCAGGTAAGGGGTGTCCCTTATATAGGTGAGTGAATTAATTTAAGCCCCTCCCACAAATACAGGCAAAACTGCCTTAATACATATGATCTAAGTATATATATACACATACACACACACACACACACACATTTACACATACACGAAGTGTATTTAAATATTAATATATATAATTTATATATATATTACTATCAAATTACACGTAGACTAATACTGATTAAATATATATATATATAATTATTGTTATATATATATATATTTATACATAATATAAAAAAATTTAAATACGTAAAAAAAATAAAATTAAAAAAATAATTAAAAATAAATAATAAAAAAATATATAGATGTTTGTTATTTCGTTCTAACTGTATTGTGATATTAATATATATATATTTATATCAAAATACACGTAGAACGAAATAATATATATATATCTATATACATAAATATATACATATATATCACTAAATATATACACCTATATATAAATACAAATATTTAAAAAAATTATATATATATATGTATATATACACATATGTATATATATACATATATTAATTCTACACATATATTTATGTAATATTTTTACATAATTAGGTATCCTAATTAATTACAATTAGTGGGACCTGCCTGACAACCCATGCCGAAAGTATAGGGAATTTAATTTGCTAGCACTATATTTAACCCTATAACTTTCCAAGACACCATAAAACCTGTAAATTGGGGGTACTGTTTTACTCGGGAGACTTCGCTGAACACAAATATTAGTGTTTCAAAACAGTAAAATGTATTACAACAATGATATCGCCAGTAAAAGTGAAGTTTTTTGTATTTTTCACGCACAAACAGCACTTACACGGATGATATTATTGCTGCAATACTTTTTACTGTTTTGAAACACAAATATTTGTGTTCAGCGAAGTCTCCCGAGTACAACAGTACCCCTCATGTACAGGTTTTATGGTGTTTTCAAAAGTTACAGCGTCAAATATAAGGCTTGTGTTTCATTTTTTCACATTACTAAAATTGTGATTGGTTACGTTGCCTTATTCCCTATGGTAGCCCAAGAATGAAAATTACTCCCCATGATGGCATACCATTTGCAATAGTAGACAACCCAAGGTATTACAAACAGGGTATGTCAGTCTTTTAGTAGTAGCCACTTAGTCACAAACACTGGCCAAAATTGGTTTTTTGCATTTTCACACAAAACAGATACTAACGCTAACTTTGGCCAGTGTTTGTGACCAAATGGCTACTAAAAAAAGACTGGACATACCCCATTTGCAATACCTTGTGTTGTCTACTATTGCAAATGGTATGCCATTATGGGTGTAAATTTCATTCCCGGGCTACTATACAGTCTCAAAGGCAACGTAACCAATCTGGCGAATTTCAATTTCAAATGTAACGTGCTATATTTGACCCTGTAACTTCCCAAAACGCCATAAAACCTGTACATAGGGGGTACTGTTTTACACGTGAGACTTTGCTGAATACAAATATGTGTATTTTATTGCAGTAAAAGCAAACAGTATTATGACACTGACCGTTAAAATGTCATGTAGAACTAAAAAAATCAAAAAAAATCTTTTCTCCCATTTTTTTCATATTAAATTATGTTTCATAGCTAAATATTTGATATTAAATGAAAGCCCTGTTTCCCCTGAATAAAATGATATATAATAAGGGTGGGTGCATTTACTATGAAAGAGGTGTATTACGGTTGGACAGACATGTAGCGCAAATGCCAGGTTTTGTTTACATTTTGTTTCGTTCACACTGTGTACATTTGGCTCCGTCCTTAAGGGGTTAAGCCGGTTGCTAAAAACATTTCACTTGGTATTATACACATTTCTGCAGTAACTTAAAGCATATCACCTGTTGAAATAAACATATCTCCTATTGCTATTATCATGTGTCTGGTTGCTATAAACATATATCTGGTTGCTATAAACACACTCCTGTTGCTATAAACATACCTCTGGTTGCTATAAACATTAAGCCGGTTGCTATAAACATTTCACTAGGTGTTAAAAACATTTCCTCAGTTACTAAATGCATATCACCGGTTCATATAAACATATGTCCTATTAATATTATCATGTGTCTGGTTGCTATAAACATATATCTGGTTGTTATAAACACACTCCTGTTGCTATAAACATACCTCTGGTTGCTATAAACATTAAGCCAGGTGCTATAAACATTTCACTGGGTATTATACACATTTCTGCAGTTACTTAAAGCATATCACCGGTTGCTAGAAACATATCTCCTATTGCTATCATCGTGTCTTTGTTTGATATAAACATCTATCTGGTTGTTATAAACAAACTCATGTTGATATAAACATACCTCTGGTTGCTATAAACATTTCACTTTGTATTATACACATTTCTGCAGTAACTTAAAGCATATCACCTGTTGAAATAAACATATCTCCTATTGCTATTATCATGTCTTTGGTTGCTATAAAAATACATCTGGTTGCTATAAACACACTCCTGTTGCTATAAACATACCTCTGGTTGCTATAAACATTAAGCCAGTTGCTATCAACATTTCACTGAGTATTATACACATTTCTTCAGTTGCTATCAACATTTCACTGGGTATTATACACATTTCTTCAGTTACTAAAAGCATATCACCGGTTGCTATAAACATATCTCCTATTGCTATCATCATGTCGTTGTTTGATATAAACATCTATCTGGTTGCTATAAACAAACTCCTGTTGCTATAAACATTCCTCTGGTTGCTATAAACATTAAGCCGGTTGCAAAAAACATTTCACTTGGTATTATACACATTTCTGCAGTTACTTAAAGCATATCACCGGTTGCTATAAAAATATCTCCTTTTGCTATTATCATGTCTCTGGTTGCTATAAAAATATATCTGGTTGCTATAAACACACTCCTGTTGCTCTAAACATACCTCTGGTTGCTAAAAACATTAAGCCGGGTGCTATAAACATTTCACTGGGTATTATACACATTTCTGCAGTTACTTAAAGCATATCACCGGTTGCTATAAAAATATCTCCTATTGCAATCATCATGTCTTTGTTTGATATAAACATCTATCTGGTTGTTATAAACAAACTCATGTTGATATAAACATACCTCTGGTTGCTATAAACATTAACCCCTTAAATCCGGAGGGCGTACTATTACGCCCTGCAGGAGCCGGCTCTAAACGCCGGCGGGCGTAATAGTACGCCCTCACTTTAATGGCCGCCCACGTGGCCGGCGCTATTCGCCCGCTGCAGATCGCGGTTGGGGGGGATGCCCGGCCCCCCAGGCAACCCCCCCTGTGGCCGGTGACCGCGATCTGCAGTCACTGATCGCATTGACAGGCTGTCACTGCGATCAGTATTTAAGGTGTGTCAGCCGATTTCAAATCGGCTGACACACGTGGCCAGCGGCTACCCCGTGCAGATCGCGGTCGGGGGACTTACCTGGCCCCCCAGGCAGTCCCCCTGGGGTCAGTGACCGCGATCTGCTAACTCTGAGATCACAGTGACAGGCTGTCACTGCGATCTCAGAGCGCTCTGATCGCAGTGACAGCCTGTCACTGCGATCAGTGTTACATGTGTCAGCCTATTGGCTGACACATGTAACTGGCACACAGATCCCCCTGCAGATTGGAAGGGGGGAGTGCTTGTTTTAAATATTTTTATTGTTTTCACAATATAAGTGCATATTGCGAACTGGTTCGTAATAAAGCCAGAGGTTGCCCACGCAGGGGCTTAAGCAGTAAGTTATAGCATTCATTAAGGTGAACGGTCGCCTACGTAGAGGCTTAAATGTTAGCACATAGGAATAGATGCAGATTATCGCTTGCGCAGAGGCGTAATGATCAGAACATATAGGCGTACTTGAACTTTGCAGGAATACATTTCTAAGCATTACAGCATAAAAGGTAACAACATCCTATAATGCGTCTATCTGAGGTAAACTGTAGCTGATCATGCAATACATGTAATGAAGTATATAGGCAAACTAATGCAGTGTTAAAAGAAATAAACTAAGGTGTCTATATGTGAGCCTGTTCCTTAAGCGTCTTCTCAGAATGAGTTAACACATGATATATGTGACTAGATGAGCGCGGTCATTTCTGTGTTAAGATATAAGCATATTAATATACATCGTATAATACAACATTCTGGCTATTCAAGTAGGCATTAATAAGTGGCGTCAAGCTTTTGCCCGTGGGGGCACTACAACATTACATATCCATTCTGAAGCTGATGTGTATAAGTCACATTGTATAGTCTAGTGCTAGACTATCAGTAATTCCTTGCACTCTGAGCAATCACATAATGTACGCATAATGAGGGCTAAGATGTATAACGTGCATATGTTTAACTTATCCTGATGTAAAGCCCAGTGCAGCTTTGTAGTATTTTGACTAACAGCAATGCCCAGATTATGTGCCCCTTAAACGTATTTGTTATCTAGTCACGTGAGCCGGATAATAAACATCTTAGTTGCTATATGCAGGTGCATGTGTCGTTTAGGCTAGACCCATAAAGTTAAGGCTCAAAGGTACACCTCATAACTCCTAGTATAACCATATTAACTATAACAGTGTAAGAGCAGAGCTGTTCGTAATGTTAATCCGATAAGGGCCCACCATGGCATGGCCGTGGCGCGTCTCCCGGGGCGCCAAGTCTCCGTCAGTCTCCCCCCGCGATAGTTCCAGCCCAGCACCTGAGTCCTCCACGATGCTGTGGGCACTCGGGGGCAGAAATTATCCGCTAGACCCCCACACCTAGAATCCGCGGGTCTCCCGTTCCCTGCACCTCCTCAGCACCGCCTCAGACCCAGTGAAGATTGTGTCCCATTGTCTCTCCTGGTGCCGGCCTCACACTTGGGACCGGTGCACGCCGCTCCCGGCTACCGGTCTGCCGGGGGGGCTGCGCAAACCCACCCCACAGGGCTCTCAGCTTCAGGGACACGGCTCTCTGGGGACCTCCCAGACCCAGAGGCCCGGACACTCACTTTTCCTGCAGGCTGGCCGGCATCGCGTGGGGTCCCTCAGGGGCGCGGCGGCACCGGAGTCCACCCCTGCCTTCCAGGTCGTCTCCCCTCGGTAAGTTATCTC